TGATACTTTTTTTGGGAGGAGGTAATGTTTAAATTAGTTATATAGACTGATGTCAAAATGGGAATAATAGAATCTAAAATGAATGAGGTAGGAGATTGAATTTTGAAACTGCATTGAGTTTAGTTAATTTATAGATTGTTCAGTAACTACAATCTCAAGTATTTTTCTACTTTTGAGTTACTAATTTCTTTGATACTTGGAAAAGTAATTAAAAAAAAACAAACAACAAACTATTTTGCATGAGGGACGTATTTCCCATCCTTACGAAATAAAGAAATATATTCTTGAACTTACACTCTTCCACTGTGTTAAGATGATGCTTTAAAGAAATAAACCCTACCTTCTTCCAAATGATAGGGCAGTCCATTTTTGCAGTATCTGTATTTTCAGATAGTTATGAACCTCTTTGGAGGTTATAATTTAAGTTTTCTCTATCATAACTTTTATGCTATTGGCCCCCTTTTAAACATTTTCTTCCGGTTATAAGAGTGGTTTAGCCTTACAATAGTGTAGCATTTTATTAATACTCACTTTTTCCTCACTTATTACTTTCCGGAGACAGTAAATTTACAAAAGCCAAGAAGTTACTATTGTTGTCATTTATATTTTGTTTATATTATGGTGTATAGAATGTCAGTAATGAAATAAGAGTGTTCTGAACAGCTTCCCTTCAAAAGAGCTGTTACATTCATGGCTGTATAATAACAGGGACATATGCTCTCAAGACTGAAATAAGAGATGCCTTCTGTAGCTGGACCTTATTTATGGCAAGTTCTGATTTAATCTCATTACAGGCAAATAAATGTTTGTTGTAAACTGTAAAAGTTTACAATGGTAAACATACATAAAACTGTATATTTTTATGCCATTCCCTGATCTAAAACATTAGGTATGGCCCATTTATAAGATAGTTCTAACCACTCCCAATCTGTAATTTCTTCCTTTAACGTACTTCATGCATCGAGATCTTGGCATACTTTTTGTTTTCTGTCACTTTGTTTCCTTCCCAAGGTGCTTCACAACATGTAATCATTTGAACTTATAGCGGTTAGAAACGAAGATTAAAGGAATAATGTCTAGTCAATCATCAGATACTCCTATCTTGTAGAAGTTACGAATGTGGTGTAACAAGCTCCTGTGGATTGGTTGGGCTAGCCAACCTTCCATGGTGTTCAGTAGATCACTTTTTTGAATGTCTAGAGGTCTCCAAATGAACTTCAGCCACGAGGGGTTTTGTGAACCTTGATTAATGGATGTACACAAATGTTCCTATTTCTGTAGCTGACTGACTCCTCGGCCTAAAACTAAAAGACGTCAAGAGTGCTATTTGAGCCAATTCTTCTTTCTCCCCTTATTTCTTCCTACCATGTCATTAGGTGTTTCTTGGCTCATAATAGTAAGTTATGAGTGTTCTCCTGAGATTAGTTGTACCGGGGTAGGATTGCAGGTACCATGGAACAAAGTCTGAAATGTGGCAAGGGCAGGTATTTCATCAGGGACCAACATTACTTGGTTTTGTTGATAGCTAAGAGAAGTCTTTCAGCAAGAGAAGTCTGTGAACTTGTGTGTCTCCATTCAGTGACAGTAAGAAATTGTAAAGATGAAAATTACTTGGCTACTGATATTTTGACCCAGGTAGTTCCTGCTTATTGTTAAGATGGTTAAGGGTAGACACCACCATCTTCACAGAGACTATTAAAATGCCTATTTGGCTAGCTCACACAGCATGTTCTTGTATCAATTTCCATCCATCTACTTGTAACAGACTTCAGGTCATGAGACTCTAGTCAGGCTCTTGTGTTTATTAAAGTCCCTTTTTCTGAAATTCAGTGCTGCTCACTGAAATAGTTTCTACCAAAGAACATTTCCATTCTACCAAAGAAATTCTACCAATATTTCTACCAAAGAACAACGGGTTATGAAAAGTTTCATGTTGGATATAATTTTTATTCATGTAAGTTGACATCGTAGGTTGTGCATGACTTGCCTCCAAGCAAATAGGTAAATGCTTGTTCCTCACAAACATTGAATCTTCAAAAAATTGTAAATTGAATGAATAAAATACATTATTTGTCAAACTGTGGTTCTTAGAGAAACTTTCTTTGTGATCCTGCAGTCCAGTCATCTTGTTATAAATTATCAAGGTCTCCTTTCTGGGGCATTGCTGTTGAATTAACTGAGTTGGTTCAGCTGACCGCTGTCAGTTTGGAAGACCAGGAAAGCTACAGCCTCATTGTCCTGCTAGTGGACTCAGAAGAGAAAGGGTGTGCAAGCATCAGAAATTTAAAGCCAAAGTGAAACATCACAACTGTTCTTTTGTGGGATAATTGTACATCTAATAATTTTCTACTTCCCTTTTTTAAAAAAAGTGTGTGTAGTGCATTATTAGTTTGTCCTCAGATTTGTTGTGAACTTTGAGTGAGCGTCAGAAGATACTATGAAGGCAAAATTGTAAATGAGAACTCATGCTACCAGGATTTTTGTGTGTATATTTGTGATCTTTCTGGTTTTTTAGGGACATTTGGAAGTGAAGATTTTTTGGAAATAGAATTCGTTTTTATTATCTAATTTGCTAAATATCTAGTATGCTATGGGGAAACTGTGGCCTGGGGTAAAAAAAAAAAAAAAAAAAAAAAACAAAAAAACAAAAAAAAAACTTCTAAAGTAATTTACTCTACAGTTTAGAATTAATAGTATTTTTTGACTCTTTGATTTAAATATTGTTTTGACTTTTAATTCAATCACCATGATGTTGCTAAATGAGATTTTTTTTTTTTCAGGTTAAGCGAAAAATCAGCAGAAATTGAAAGACCAAAAAGCAGACATACCAAATAATGTCTTATATGTGTTCACCCATTCTTACAGAAGCGTTCAGTATATCTTGAAAAGTAAATGTATGCTAAATTTACCAAATTGTATAGATGGAAGATTAACTCTGATTCTCTAGTAAAAATGGGGTTTGGATATTAAGAAAACACAGTAGTGAGAAAAAATATTTATAAACATTTTTTACATGATCTGACAGATGCATTAATATATAAAGGAACCATGATATCTTTGAGAGAGATCAGCTGATGCACTAGAATCTTTGCACATATTTTCCCCCTGTATTTAAATGTGAACTTATGAAGTTCATAATACTTCATTTAAAAAAAAGGTGACAATCTGTTGCCCAATTCATAGGTGAACATAAGATGTTACTTGTAAAGAAAACAGAAAAAAGTGCAAGAATCTTAGAAAGCTTACACTCAAATATTTAGTAATATTTTCACTATATCTTTAAATGTTGGAGGACAGTTTCACTTTCAGAGCTTACTAGGATCTGTATTTGTGTTAAAAATCACAAAGCAGTTTTTAATGGACGTTTTACAGAAGAGTTAGAGCAATTTTCTTTGCAATGTTGACTTCGCTTGTAATTGTTTTAGGTCAGGAATTTCTATACTTAATTTTCATTTGTAAGGTCATTTTGATACTTTACCGTGTTACCAGAGGCACCATAAACGCACAGGAAAAAAGGAGTTTTCATATAGTATAGTTATTTTGAGGCAGTGGTTGTTTTGTGTGTGTGTTTTTTTAAAAAGTAAAATATTTGAAGATTTAGTGAAACACTGTGAAAATATGTGGGTGCTTGTGGGCACCAACCTATTTTGTGGAGCAATTTGTTCTCTTAGTCTTTCAGTAGTACTGAACTGTAACACTGGAGAAAAATACCAGTGGTCTGTCAATGGGTATTTCACTGTACAATTTTATTTCACCCCTTCTAAAGTAATAGTGGTTATACTATATATAGGCTTTCTTACTTATAGCTGTTTGAATATTTAATTTCTTTATTTTTCTAAAACGATCTTAATGTAAAATAGTGTTTTATTTCATCCCATGTAGTTCTTCTACTGCCCTGATAGGTGCTGAGTCAATGATGCAGTATCATTTTCAATATTTTATTTTTTCCTTAACTCAGAATAGGTGGCAAATTGAGCAGTCAGTTATTTTTAAGAAAGTCAAATTGATGGGTGGTATTCATCTACTTTTTTCTACTGGTTATATTATCTTGCAAGGTAAAGGAAATGGGGATTTCCATTACTGGCTAAGGTGCTTGATTATTTCACACCTTGCTTCTAAATTTAATCTTTATCAATAATTGTGCTTTCAGATTTCAGCTTGTGATTCCACATGTAGTCCTTCAGTGGCAATGTTGGCTTCAGTGTGCCTGGCTGCTTGTCCCATCCTGCTCTGTCTCTTATGTTATGCCAACGTGGCATCCATGTAGAGAATTTCCTCCCTCTGGCATAGTCAGCAAAAAGTAAAAGAATGGATGTTAGATGTGGAACATGCTAAACTTTCATTAGCAAACAAAGAAAAACAAATTGTACTTTAATCTGTCCTCCACTGTTACAGGACAGTGAAGATCCAAGTAGACTGTGAACCAATTAAATGCCATCTGATGGATGTCTGAAACAAGAGTTGAGAGGTGTGGGATCTGTCCCCAGTTAGAGGCAGATTCTGTGCCTCTGGAATTTGGCATTTTTCAGGATGTTAAACATTGAGGCCAGGGAAGATGAGCTGCTGAGGTTGGGCACTAGCTTTGCTTTTCTTTTGGTACAGTCAGTCCAGAAAGTTTCTGTGAGCAACCTTGACAGGCAGAACTTGTGTATTTTTTTTTTTTCTTTCATGGAATCCATACACAAAATTCACATCTTTGAAAATAACCCCTGTCAAATTCTGACTGAGTTATGACACATGGGTGAAGATGTTATAAAAGGGATGTTGAGGATAAATAGGAATAAACAATGAATAGTTTGTTACAATGAAACGGGAAGAAGCATGTCAGCTAGGTAATCTTTACATGAGGATGATTTCTGGGTTCATTGTGTGTGAAAACTCTTGCCTATGTTAAAACGGTGAAACTGTTTATAAGCTCTGTAAGCTAGGGGACGGAGATTAGCGGAGGTAAATATTTTCTAAACCATTAACTGCATTAAAAACACGCGTTGTCTTTGCAGGAGGAGAGACTTCAGCATGCAAACCTTCATCTGTTCGGCTTGCACCATCGTTTTCATTCCATGCTGCTGGCCTTCAGATGGCTGGACAGATGTCCCATTCACATCAGCAGTACAGTGATCGTCGGCAGCAGAACATCAATGACCAACAGGTTTCTGCCTTATCATATGCTGACCAGATTCAGCAACCTCTAACATTAACAAACCAGGTAAGTGATAACAAAAAAGTCATTTTAGATGTAATAATTATTTTTCTAAGTATATTATATACCCATAAATTATAGGATGAGGACATATGTTTTTGTGGTGGTGTTTTGTTTTGTTTTGTTTTTTAACTAATTAGCTCCTGACTCTTCAAGGATGGGTGGACGAATAAGTTTCTCGAAGTTGTTTTTAAATATCTGGGCACATATTTATTGTGATTATTCTACTTCTGACATTTTTTAGATGAGAGGGGAGAAGGATTGTCCAAGTGGAGAGTTGGAAAGAGAGTTTAATAGATTTTTTTTTTTAAGGGCTGTTTGATGTTAGAATGTGATTGCTTTATTACTTGTTCTAATGGACAGTGTTTTAATGTAGAGTCACTGGTTAGTGTATTTGGAATAGAGAGGTTTGCACAAAAGACACCTTTTATTAAGGAAGATATGCTTTTAAAAAAAAGACACAATCTAAAGCTATGCTATCATTAGGGTTTTACTACTACTGCTGTACCACTTACGATTTGCACGAGATAAAACGAACATAGGGATTATGACGATTATGGATGCTTTTGAGCTGTCAAGATCGGTGTTTCTTCCTTACTGCTTTTGAGCTGCTGGAACTGCTGCAGTAGCTTCCTAACTAACACTGCTAGATTGCTAGCCACAAGAACTAGTATTGCCCTAAGAGAGAGTTCTGTTGCTGTCTTAAAAATGGTGCATCCTAGTTGTGGAGACGTGAACACAGGTAGATTTCAAAGCTTAAAATCCAGAAGTCTAAGTCAGAACTTCAAAATTTGGTACAGGCTCATGAGGCATATTCTACTTACAGAGGATCGAGAATGAAGTCTTTTGTTGCTACCAGATTCAGGTCTGTTCCTGAGTTCATGATGGTTTGATAGAAAAATCTACAGTACCATCAAGAGATGCTCTGTTGGTATTGCTCTGTAGGAAGGCACTTATGCAGAAAGAGGGAAGGATTAGAGAGGATGAGAATGGTCAAATGAAGTGCCAGGATATTTGGTACTAGTATTTGGAGATTTGTAATGACTAGGGCTTTGTGAAGAGTGGCAAAGTGAATTGGAGCTGGCAAAGGATGTTTTTAGTTTCATGAGAGCCACTCAGTAGGAAGAGTAAATCTGCTCATATATAATAGTATTTAGCTTAAGAAATCTACAAAGTTATTTCAAGTGACTTTTTTACATTAATGGTCCCCCAAAACCTCCACAATGAGGTTAGTGAATCAGTGTGCTGATTAAGAAAAGTTGCTGGGTTCCTTAAACCTTTCAAAGTACTTACCTAAGCATTACAATCTGGAATCTCGTTTGTGAGCATTAGTGTACGTTAGTGCTTAATTGTTCATATTTTCAAACCAAAAAGCAAAATCAAGGAACTTTAGTATATATCACCATCCATTCCTGTTTGTGATCACAGTGGCTTTAAAATGGTAGCTGAATAATAGAAAGCTGAAGAACAGGTTTCAGAGAACAGCCAAGAATTGTTGACCAAAGAGTGCAGCCCACTGTGATGAGGATGTAAATGCAGGGAGAAAGCTGTGGTTGGCTCTGGGAGGTTATCCATATGAAGAAATGATCAACTGGCCACATTGATAATGGTAATCAAGCTGTCTTTGCACTACGAACACTATTTTCACAGAATCACAGAAACACTAGGTTGGAAAGGACCTTCAAGATCATCATTTTATAGAATCAGTATTTTTATTTTTCCTGTTCCATCTTGGGTTTTCTGCATTGTAGCTTCTGTCTTCCTCTTTTACTCTAATTGTTGAAGTTTTTATAGCCCTCTGCCTAAGCAGCGCAGAATTGTACTTCTTTATCCTTTGGGAGCTGCTTTCAGCACCTTTGACTGATGGTGGGCAGCTTTTTGAAGTCTTCTGCCTACTTGCCTTTCGTGACTCTTTACTCCTTTGAGTTCTTGTGCTTCTTCCACTAAGAAGTCCCAATAAAGAGTTCTCGCCACATTCCAGGTTGGTATGGAGGTTCTACATGAGCCTCTGTTGGAGAGTCTCAGTGGCTTTTTGTCTTTGCATTGCACTTCTGGTTAATATTACCTGCAAAACCAAATCCAGCTAACATCTTTAAGCTAGTGAGTAAAATCATCTGCTCTAGACCTTGTCTCTGTGCAAAAATTTTTTTCTTGTTCTTTCGCTTTCAATAGCCCTCTTGTCAGCTCTAGTTCATCTTGATTAAAACATAATTCTTACTCCTTTTGTCTTCTTATAAAAGCCATGACTCTCTGTTGTTAAAGGCTTTCTGCTGTCTTACATTTCTCCATTGCTGTGGACTACTATGCTGCCTTTCGCTCCAGCTATAATCTGCCTATCACCTAGGTTTTCATGTCTAAATGATACATACATCTTGCAGATTCTTTCTTTGACATTTCTACAGGAATCCTTTTTATTCAAGGTATTGGCTTGAATATGCTGCAATTTGTTTCTCTCTGTCCTGGATAAAAGCAGTTCTGTCCTCTATATGTCAGTTCTGAAAAAGTTTTGCAGATACCATTTTCTGAACTGTCCCTGTGCGGCTGTTTCATTGCTGTGTTGGAATCCCAGCACTAGTTCTTTCTGTTGTTATGTGCTTGTCTGTTATTAAAGCTTGTAACACCAGACTAACCTTTTGGTAATGGCAAACTCTTTTCAGTCACAGAAGGTGACATAATTCTATATTTTCAAGTACATATGGTTGGAAGATCATGTTTTTAACTTGGGCAGCCAAAAGGGTAGGCTGAATGTCTGCTGTAGAAGGCTTGATAGATTGATCTAAAATAGGCGAAAGAAAAAAATGGGAGGAAGAAAAAGTGACTTTTGGCAGATACAGAGAGTGTAATTCTTAAAGGATGGACCCTTTTAATGCAATGTCTTGCATCCAGTCAAACAGACGAGAAGTTAGGTCTCTGAGCTTCAGTTTCCCAGAATTTCCTAACGCAACAGTAGTTGTTGACAGCCTAGACAGTTGGGTCAGCTTTTGGTGCTGCTGGTTTCAACAGCCTAAAAGCAGCTCACCTGGATGCATGTGTCCAACAGTTGATAAACAACGAGTTGCCAGGCCCCTCGCTCCTGAGAGTGCTCCATTACCTTGCTAGTTCCGTTGCCAGACGGGTCAACGAAGTGGGACTCTCCCAGGGTCGGCGGTGGCTGCCGGGACTATCCTTCCCCGAGCTCCAGCCACCATCTACTGGCCAGAGTGCCGCACTGCACTGCCGGCCCTACTGCGGGCGCTGCTCCGCCGCGGCGAGCTGCCTTTGGCTAGGAAGGCCTGCCCTCTCCTCTCCGAAATAGGCCATCGTTTCAAGAAACTCTGTTCTATTTAAAAATTTGCGGAGCAGCTTGTTTGCGTGAGTCTTTCATCGAAGGAACTGACAATCCGAATGTTACAAAGGTTACTTCCTTGATTGCTACGTTTGCTGAACTTTGGAAACAGAGTATTTTGTCCAAATCCCAACAAGATTGACTTGGCTGAAAATAAAACCCAGGATGAAGTCTCAGCTTTTGGGATGCTGAAGTTTTATAGAAATAATAGATAGCAAGTAGTTCCTGCCTGAAAGTAAATTTCTTCAGGCTGCAGCAAGATACATGAGGATACTGCTTGTCAGTTGCTAAGAGTAGCTGGTAAGTTTTAGCATGTAGAACAGCAGTGTTTTCTGTAAACGATGTCATTTTGATAAATAGCACTGACGATCTGCCTTATTATGGTGTTTTTCAGGTTATTTTTGTGTCTTTCTTTTTACTGAGGATTGACTCAGTTTTTTTGAGGACTATTGTCTTGTTGAAGTTCTTGTAATGATTTTCATTCATATCCAAATAATGGGAAAGCTAGCCCTTGAATGTTAATTTATTGGTTTTATTCCAACTCTGTCCCGCTTGGTTTTTTTATTCGTAATGTCTTGCAGACCATATTCTGGTATTTTAAGAGTCATTCACAGTTGCAGATTAAAGGTTAAGAAATAGTAATGATGATTTATATAAAAGTTATATAAACTATGCGTATTTTTATTATACGTTACCCTTAAAATATTATTTACATAATCTTCTCTTGCACCTATTGCTTTATGGCTATGGTGGCCAAAACTCACTCATCTCATCACTGGCAAGGAACAAATAACAGGAAGATACTTCAAAAGCAACCAGATTGCTTTGTTTTTCACTTATTTATGAGGTTTTAAATTACATTTAAAAACTTCCAGCTCTGTCCTTTTTTTATTTTCTTTTCTTCAGTAGTTAAGCTTAAGACTTTTGTTTCCTGGAAACTGCTGGATTGAAAGGGTTTATTTTAAATCTGTGCTTCACCAAGTGCTGGGCCTGCTGGCAGGATGGGGGTCTGCTCTTGGTTGTGTGGTCTTAACTCTCTGGTGAGTGCCAAAGCCAGCTTCAGGAAAGCAGTAAGAGTGTCTGGCCTAGAGTGATTAGAAAAGAGATCTGTGAGACCTTTCTCCTTTAGCAGTAAGAAACAGTAATATTTCTTTGTCCGGTTTCAACTGGTTGCATCTTGAGAGTTCAATGTAGCCTGATGTGAATATAAGCACTTAAAAGTTTTCACAACTTCAGACAAACATTTCTTTTGTGCTGTGCTAATGTTAATCTTCATCGTGGATATTCAGATTGCCTGAAACTTTTTTCAGTTAAATACAAAACATTAGAAAATTGATTTACCTGTTAAAGAAGTTGAGTGAGATTCCTGGGCAGATTTTGGTAACAAATTCCATCAGTTTAGCTTTCACAAAGCACCAAAGGTCAGGCTGACTGCTAAATATCTTTCTGTGTGTATCTAAGATCATGTATCACCTGCAAAATTCTAGGTTTTACTGACCAGATGTTGGCCAGAGATTTTATTGATTGCAACTAGATCATTGAAAAATCATGGCTGTCCGGTGAAGTTTGTGGTGACTGGAAAAATGGAAACATTCCACCCTTTTTAAAAATGGGTGCAAAGAAGGACCCTGACAACTACCAACCTGTCAACCTCACCTCTGTGTCTGGGAAGATCATGTAA